CCATCCATCCATCCATCCATCCACTCATCCATCCATCCATCCATCCATCCACTCACTCACCCATCCATCTGTCCATCCATCCACCCAACTATCCATCCAAAACACAATATTGTTGAGAAGTACACTCTAGCTTCATTCCTGTAGGACAGGGTTAACATCAGTACCTACTCAACCAAGTTATCATGAGATTTAAATGATATTATGTAGGCAAAGCACCCAGCACTGGGTCTGTTGCATAACAAAATCTCAACAAATGGTACCTGTCATCATTATTAGGACCTAATTAGTACACACACCCAAATTCCAGGGCTCCAACTCTTTCCTAGGCAGACATCAAATATTCAGTTCAATTTTATTATCTAGAATTTGAGGAAAATAAAGAGGGGTGAAGGAATCTGGAGAGTTAGGTAGGTAGAGTCAGCCTGGACCAATGAAGAACAGAGACTGGGAAGTTGGGGCTGGGGTGTGGAATTGAGGGGATGGCCACCTGAGGATATCTCCCTTTAAAATGTCACCAGAAGTCAGTCTCCAGATGACTCTACTGTATCAAAAAGTACATCTGTGGGCACAGATAGGAAGCAGGTGTGCAGGTAGGATGCAGGCACCCAGTGTGGGGACAGCTGGGTGACCCAGTCCGTCTATGTCAGTGCACTGTAGGGCCGGATGGGTATGTTGAGTCTGCTCTGCAGCCAGCTGAGATAATCTTCTTGAGGCATATGGATGATGTGTTCTCGCACAAACTGTGGGCAAGCACAGTGGCCATCTCAGAATTCGGTCTGAAGGCTAGACTCCACCCCCTCTCCCTCCCCTGAGACAGGTGGCCCCAGGACACCTGCGACCATTCAGGCATTCATAATGTCTGCTGCACCAGGTTGGGGTGGTTCTTTTGGGAAGATGACCCCTCCCTGGTTTCCTGGGTCAGCCAGCTAATTTTAAGCTCTTTCTTATTGACGCAAGGAAGTTTGGGCAGGGCAGGAAAACCCAGCTATCTGCATTTTTCTTTCTGTTCTATTCCTTCAATCTTTTCAAAGTGTGTCCTTACTGTGGATGATTTTGCAGGTTTTTTTGGCCGGGGCTGGGTTTGAACCCTGCCACCTCCAGTATATGGGGCCGACACCCTACTCCTTTGAGCCACAGGTGCCACCCCTGTGGATGATTTTGTTGCCCCAGGGGAATAGAGCACCAGGATCTCCTGGTGGGGGTGATGGGCTACTATTGAAAACTGTTCAATAGGTGGCTCCTAAACCTTCACCTTGACCTTCCAAGGGCTGCACAGACTGACCTCTCTAATTTTTCAGGAGCCCTGCACCTCCTTGCTTCCTCCACACTCACAACTACCAGCCAGTTCCTCCAACAAGCCAAGTGGAGTCCTGCCTCGGGGGCTTTGCATGTTCCATCCCATCTTTCTGACCTGGTGTCCCCCTTTCTCTTCATGGTGCTGTCCTCTCAGCAAAGTCACCTTTTCCAGTTGCCTCGCCAGGTACATCCCTCCTAATTTACTTTTAAATCATCCCCCCTCAAGCTTTATTGTGCATACAAAACACTGGGACCCCATCAAAATGTACAATCAATGGGGTTGGAAGCCTGAGATTCTGTATTTCTAACAAGCCCCCAGGTGAGGTCTATGCTGCTGGTCCTCAGTAGGAAAACTTGAAGTGTCCTTCTTATGATGGCCCATTTATTTATGTCCCCCCAAAACCTCTGAGTTGCCAGGGGTGCCACCTACATAGACAGTATATTTCCTTGGAGTTGAACAACCAAGTAATGTGATAATCTCTCTCCTGTTAGATTATGAGGATCTTTCTTTTAAAATTCAGATTAATATCAGGGTACAGAAGGCAGGGGTCTTTGTGTCTTTTAATCACTGTGTCCCCAGCTCTTAAACAGCACCTGCATGTTGAAAAGTGACTGAATGAAGGCATCTAAGGCATTGTAAGTGGAAGCAGGTGGTGTTTACCTCGATAGCCACGGCAATGTCTGGGGAACACAGTTCCCAGATCCTCAGATCCTGTAGCACCTTCAGGAGGACGTGGGGTCGGATCCTCAAGTCCAGGTTTTCCCCGAACTTCTGCAGTTTCACCAGGATCTTTTTGGCAGGGCGGAAGTTCTTTAGATCCTCTGGCAGTTTGGACAGCAGATCAAAGTACCTTTAATTTTCCAAGAGGAGAGCGCCAGTTAGGAGGCTGCTGGGAGGTGGGCGGGGCACCTCGGGCCAGGCCGGGCTGTCCGTATCTACTTTCTCTGTCTGCCCCCCATCTGATGTCTCCAAGGCAGCAGAATTTCTTATCTAGGGTCTTTCCTCTGTGGCCCTCATATCAGGCAAGCCTTTACTTTTAGGGGTAGGAAAAGATGGGTGTGACTTGCCTTTTGTTAAAAAAGCCAAGGGTATGCTTTCAAGGGATGCATTTGTAATTTTTCTGTTAAGCAGACAACGTGAAAAGCAGGCAATGCTCAAAGAAAGAAAGGGCCTTTGGGGTTCTGAAGCTTCTCTTCTGAGAGTTAATCAGGCTGACAGGTGGTGGCTGGGGGACAGGGACACATCCATGGGTGACTTCTAGGATGTGGGATCCTCTCACACACAAGACAGGTATGTGTGTGTGTGTGTGTGTGTGTGTGTTTTACAACTCCCTGATTAATGAATAAACTCAGGTCAAAGCTTTGTGTGTTTCAGTGTTATGGCAGAACACAAGGGTAGTTGGGAATCCATCCTTGAGGTGGTGGAACAGGTAGATTCTGACCTACCTGGGTCTAACCTACTGGAGGTTACCCTAAGGAGATGGTTCAGATACAATTAGGGGTTAAGGAAGGAGATGGAATCTCTTAAAAAACAATACACAGCTGGGTGGTGGCTCATGCCTGTTAGCCTAGCACTCTGGGAGTCCAAGGCAGGTGGATTGCTTGAGCTTAGGAGTTGGAGACCAGCCTGAGCAAGAGTGAGACTCTGTCTGTACTAAACATAGAAAAAACTAGCTGAGCATCGTGTCAGGTGCCTGTAGTTCCAGCTACTTGGGAGGCTGAAGCTAGAGGATCTCTGAGAGTTTGAGGTTGCTCTGATCTATGACATCATGGCACTCTACCCAGGGCAGCAGAGTGAGACTCTTGTCTTAAAAAAAAAAAA